TGGCCTCATGGCAGCATAAATTAATGACTAAATTGAAACAGAAACAGAGATGAGCACCACCCCCTACAGTCAGCAATGATTTGCAAGGATTCCTATGGTCAATATGGTTACTTACTAAACCAGGTGTGCAGGTATTTTTCTGCATTAAACATTGCCATTGGTACATAAGTATCATTTGGCGTAGCAGGGGCATGCAACGGAGGTAGCCAGAGCAAAACCAAATTTGATTTCATTTCAGTTGCAATGTAGTGGCACCGAATTACAACTCATCAGAGAGAATATGATTATCTTTTTAGCTGTGGGTTTAATAAGTTTCCTCTTCACACTAACTATGTAAATTTGTTGTTTGAGAATTTTTGAGGACTGCGCACTTATGGGGGCCCTAATGTGGCCCTGAGGTCTCAAATTAAATACTTCACAAAAACTGTGGTCTTTGAGCTGCTGTACAGCTGCAGTATTCGGGATCACGTTCCGGCGTTGACGTTGAATGCAAACAGAGAGTCAGTTCGTTTGGTGAAAAACTTTATCTCTATCTAATACTACGTGATAAGCCAGCACTAAATGACAATGATACCAAGGTAAGCAAATCCAAGTCAGTTCTAACCAAGTTAACACCATCACTCATATATATCCACACCCTCAGCCACACCCCCACTCAGTGTCATCACAGCCTCCTTCCTGGTTAGCCGCATCCAAGCAGAAGAGTTACATCATAGTAGGCAGTTGCACCCAAGTAGAAGCGTTACTCTGCAGAGTGGTGAGAGAAGCCTTACAGAGCCACATGCAGCTACAGGCTCCGCCAACATCAGAGAGTCAACATCAACGTGGCAGTGTTGGTGGCCTGTAAACATGGCCGAGCGGGCATGGCGATGGACGGGCTCCCCCCTGAATGGCAGCCCGAGGGCTGACATTCGGTTTGAGGCTGCCTTCTACTGGCTAGTCAGTTTAAAGATGGAAAACTGTAAGAAGAATGAACAGGATTTTACTCTAGGTAGTATGCAGTTAACATAGTGAAACCATGCCCAGCTATAGGTAGTATATAGTCAACATAGTGAAAATTGTGCCTATCAAACAATCTGTCTACAGTAATCTTTGACTTACAATAGTGACTTGATTTATTATCTTGGGGCTAATTGTGACCTGGATTTAAAGTTTCAACAGTTAGTCCTTCCCACAGTCACATGAGCAAACTTTGGGCGCTTGGTAACATGGCTACATTCATGGTTGTTTGCAGAGTCCTATGGAAATGTGACTGCATTTTATGACAGTTTTGGCAAAACCCAGCACTTATTTCCACTTTTTGGTAAAACCACGCCCATAGCAAACCATCAGTTCTCTTAGTGTGTGACCTGTCAAAACCGTGCTCGACTAAACTGCGCCCGATTAAACCGCGTCGCTGACATCATCAACAGGGCGACAACAGCTAGCGCGGAGAAAGAAGGGCACTTTAAATAGCGCTTTGAAAGCAAG